CTGTGTATTTCTCTGGTTATTGTTTGTGTCCTGTTGGAAAAGCAGGTTAGTTGCATAGTAAATCTCTCTAATCAACACAGGAGAAGAACAAAAAGAACAATCACCCTCATTTGTTATAGCTACTTTAGAAACGTGGTCATCTGAAGGATGTATTCTGGGAGATTTGTCCCTTTTCTTCAGAAAGGCTTGTTAATATGGGCATAACTAACCAGGCATCTCAGGAGAGGACAAAGGCACTCTCATTAAAATCAGCTGTAAAAACAACCTACAAAGCACATATCTGTCATAATGATGGTTCTGTTGTCTCTCCCTGTAACGTCTAAGCAATACTTCCCTTAAAGCACATAAGACTCAAAGTGTGTACCAAAGGAAGGAGACTGGTTTCTGAATTTGGATGCTCTCTCTTGTGCCTGTTTGTATTCAGATCCAATGTATTCTGTTGTCCTTCTCCTTCCCTTCCCTCCCTCCAAATTAAAGCTCACCTCCGTTTGGAGCCATCTCCAGTCAGACCTTTTTCTTGCTGTAACAGAGAAATTCGTGCTGTAGTGGATATATAAAAATACTGCTGGATGACAAGACATAAATGTGTGTACAGACTCCTGGTGAGATACTGCTGCAGTATTTAATGCATTTATTAACCATGTAGTGCTGTGATTTGCAGAAGCTGGATGCATAATTACAAGATAGCATTTCTGGGCATAAATTCAGGGCTATAGGATGCAAAGGATGGAGGTAGAGGGATTTGGGGGATGGAAAGCAGAGAGTTACAAGGTTTAGGAGGATCCTATGATAGTTATTAGGTGGAGAGCAGGAGAAGACTAGTTAGGGTGTGTATGAGCAAGGACATATGATTTAACTCTGATGCACTGGGATCAGAAGGAAATACAGAGGTCCACAGAGTCTTCTGAAGGAGAAACATCTCTATAAGCAATATTCCTTTCTCCTTTCAGAAAACCACTAGCTCTTCTGCTGGTCCTGATTTACCTTTCTTTCTAGGAAAGAAATAAGTAAAATTTTGCCTGTCATCATGAGAGATTTTTTGTTTTCTGGACATGCAGTTGGTTTCTCCACCAGCCCTTGACCAAGTCTAATATTTTAATATTTGAGTTCTAATATTAAAAGCTAAATATTAATATTTTAATATTTTAGTTCTAATATTAAAACCTAAAGATTGCAAGACCAAAACAAGGCTGGTGTGTGACTAACAGACAGGATACTGAAGTCATCAGGAGGTGCATGAATACAGTTATCTCTAAATGTCATCTGTTGCTTCTGCTAGTACAGTGAGAAGATTCTCTGGAAAAGCAGGCATTTGTTTTTACAAAATATAAAAGCTTTGGTGAGTTCAAGCCTGTTGGCAATATGGAAGCAGCTTCACCAGAGTAGCTCACACTGCTGAATTATACTTCCCTGCAAAGTTGGAGTGTCAGCCCATCTTATGTAACTTTGTTTTATAGTCTGAGGCATGTCACAGCTCAGTGTATAAGTCATTAGGAAATGCTGTTTTACCTCAGTAGGAAAGAACTCATAGCTCCTTCCATACACTTAGCCACTTAAAGCTGATTTTCTTTCACTGTTTTTTTTTTAATTGTTATTATGAGCCCAGCACTTCTTCGTTTTTTTTTTTATTTAATGATGGAATCCCCATAGATCTTTTTGTCACCAGATAACAGCTTTATATGAAAATTCCAAAAAAAATACAAGTTTGAATACAGACAGCTTAACCATTTGTGTGTGCTGTTTTACTCCTGGGGAGTTAGGTACTTGTAGAACCTTGAAGGTACATTCTTGCCTGCTTGTTAGGCAAGTAGGGATACCTGCGATGGGGATTGGCAGTGAATCTTTGGCATCTTGCATAGCATACAACTCATTTCCCAAATTTATTGGTGATGTAGATATTCCTTGTCAGAACTGTCTGCAGCTGTGTGTGATGGAGTCATTTCTATTGTTTAAATTTTTTAAGATAATGGAGGATGGTATAAAGTAAATAATCCAACAGCCGAGGATATCCTCTGTTATTCAGATGCATGTCTCCTAGTCTGGGTGTATTTCCCCTAAGGCTGTCAGCATAACCTCTAAACCATGTTTTTTTCTTTTTGCTTCTGATAAACTTTTCACTTAGTGTAGCACATATAGGGCAGTTCCGCTACGTGTAGAGTTGGTTTTGCCTGAGAGTGGGGCAGGAAGAATTTTCCCCTTTGGTTGTAAGTAAAGGACATACACTTTCTACAGCACTCTCTTCAACATGTGGGTTTGGGGTTTTTTTCCCATAACTTGTGATTTAGTGATGCACTGTTGTATTGCAGTAGTGCAGCCTATGCCAGTATTTCCATTATAACCCATTTTTACAGGTTTATAACTCAACACTAAAAATGTACTCTTCCAATTTGAAACTTGGCAGATAATGTCTCATCTCAGCCTCAGAATGACAGTTTTTTCTTTCCCTTTTCCTTCTCCCCCCAAAAAGGTTGCAATTTTGCTGTATTTTTAAATAGAAGATATTGTCCTTTCTGCTTTGATAAGAGAAAAGCCTGCCTGATTATTAAAATTGCTTTTCAAATCTAAGAGAGGAGGTCGTTATAATAGAAGATGCATTGAATAAGTGTTGTTGATGTTACAATGTCTACAATAAGTACATGGATACAGAGAAGTATCGCCTTCCAGATGAAAGCTAGGGAATGTTGATCAAAATGATTGAAAAGCTTTTTTTATGGTGATTTTTTTTCTAGCTGTTGATGTTACCCTTAAAATAGTGTTCTCAAAGGTAAATATGTGTTAGCTGCTGCACTCTGTTGTTTATCCGGCTGAAGGAAGTAAAGGAACACTTTACTGCATATAAGCAAAATAATTATATTTCTGTCTTTTCTCATTTGATAAACACAGTACAAAAGGAATATAAATTCTAACTTTGGTGTTGAGACCAAATACTATGTGTAAACAGTGCTATGAATCCAAAGCAGGCATAAGTAGCAAAGCACAGTGTTCCCAATGAACAGACACTTGTGTGGAGTTGGAAATTTAGCACTGAATGACAAACCAAGATACAGGAGGCTTGTATGATCCTTACAGTTAACACTGTCAAGATCTGAGCCTCTGAATCTGAAGCTTTATTGGAAGCCTCACATTCCAATTCAAGGCAGGGTGTTCAGGACATAAGAAAATCAGGATTTAAATCTAATTTCTCCTTCTTTAACCCTCTCCTTGGACCCAGCCATGTAGGAGTTGAAATCTACCCAGCTGATTTTAAAGGAAGTTTCCTAACAACTGTGAATGCAACCACTACTACAAACATGGCAGGAAGGCTTTACTGGGATGCTTCCTCTTGTTGCAGATTTACTTCTAGGGGTTTCTTCTTCTATTTAGAGCGTTAAATTTATGCTTACCATAACCACTTTTATGGTACTAATTAGTAGAAAAAAAGAAATTTTATGGAGGGTGTTAATGAATCGAGCTATTATTTTGTCATATGTATAAAAACTATCAACATATATACAGTATGTATTCTTACTATAGCTAAGTTGTCTTTCTCTTAAATCCCAGCTGCTTCACTTTTTCAGTTGTCTCTAATATATTTATGTATCATTAAAACCAGAGAATGTGTTTCCTTATGAGAAGTTCAGTTCCTTCATTTGAATTCTAAAATCAGTAATTAGGTCAAAGACTATTTTGTGTTCACTGGCAGAACCAGTGGCTCTCAGATATAAAATAAAACATCTGTATGTGAAAATTAATTTTTTGAGGGGATAAAGTCAGAATGCTCAGCACTTTCTCACATCAGCTTTAGTTCAGTCCATCAGTGCCAAAACCAGGGAGATTCTTCAGTGTAAAATGAACACAACACAGTGAGATTCAGATCTTCATTTCTTGCAGAAAATAAGATGCAAGTCCAGCAAAACTTCCAGGTGGAAGTATCAGATGTGTCCAGTGCAGTCAGTAGTTTCGGTGTGTAAACCAAGGTCTTCTGTTACAAGACTTGATTTACATTGAACACCGTGAGCTCCTATAAAAGGGTGCTGTTTATGTTTCTGGAATATACAAAGAAAGAACTGATATTGAGAATCACTGAAGTGCTTAAGTCAACCACAGCACCATTTACTGAAAATATCTTCCACAGCACAGGGATTAGTCTTACTCCTGTAGAAAAGCAGAAAGCGCCCAGCCCAGTCCTGTTCACTTGAAATATTGGAAATATTAAACAGCTTCTGACACTAGACAGAGTGCACATTATTGCTTTCATTTTGTATGATGCCACCTGGAATGTTTTTTATTTGAGTCAGTGTGGAGAGCACACAGTAATAGCAAAAGATGGTTGTTCATCATAAGACATGGCTGAATTTATAGCAGATTAATTTTTTAATTCTTGATCATCTAAAATATTCCTACACTTAGTTTAATATTCTATGTATGATAATCAGCAAACACAATGTAAGCAAACAGTTCAATTTGACTTAGAGGTATATATGTTAAAAGGCACTAAATGTTCTTTTTGTAATGTAGAAGAGGCTCTCTGGCAGCCATGAAATATATTAAAATCATATTTCTATTTTTATAGTAATACTTGGAAAAATGGAAAGAATCATTAAGGATAAAATACTCCTGTGTTGTATATTTTCCTAAAACTGAGGCACATGATAGATTATTTTTTAATATGAAATGGTATTATGATAATTATTAACTGTCATATTTCATTTCTTCTCATGAACATCCAACACCATTTTTAAGGGGCCACAGAAGATAACATGTTCTCTGCAGCTGATGGCACTCATCATTGTCATTACTAAGTACTCTTAGTTGACTGTTTGAAATTTTGCTGTAAATTCAAATGAGAATGTGAATGTTATTGGAAAACATGCAGTTACATTTGGAGAGTTGATTTGTTAATCATGTGCAAATCACTGTCGAAATTATAGGAGTATGACAACCCATGTAAATTTATCTAAGTGTTTTGTGCCGCTTTATGCATAAATTGTACAGGGAATAAATTCTGCATTTGTTCATAGGCACAGAAGAAGCGAAAATCCAATGAATCTGTAGATACAGAGCTCTGTCTTAATGAGGTAAGAGTGTGGATCCTATATATTTCACAACACAGGTGTCTCTCCATAATATAAGATTCCTAAGTCTGTCAAGATTATCATGGTTTACCTCATATTTGTCTTGTCAGTTTTGTTATGTTTGGATACCATAATGTATTAAAGAACAGCCTTACTCAGAAGTTCAGAACTGGGCTCAAAGTGTCCTCTGCTGACTTTTATATTTTAATAGCTGTATAGTGCACGTGTAGTCAGATCCCATAATAATAACCATTGCACCTAGCAAGTGTACTTGTTAAATCATCTGCAGGAGTGCAAGATCAGATGGGTTTTAGCAAATAATCAGAAACAAACTGGTCATCATTCTGTGGTTAAAACAAATGACCAATTTATGGAATGAAATGATATTCATATCAGGAGATGTGATGCTTATACACCAGGGAACAGATTGACAGACTCAAGACATGAAACTCCCAGTGCTGTTGGAGTAGTCTGCTCAGCCTGACCTCAAAGGCCCCTCTCAGACATAAGCATTACATCAGTTTCCATGTCTGTCAGTCCGTATCCTTTGTACCTATTCTCTCAGGAAGCTTAATAATTAGTAATGTACATAATTTTTACAGTGTGGAAACACATTGTCTTGGCTTTGGAACAAGACCAGCTGTACAGCCATAAGCCACCAAAAGGATGTGACAGTATCTTTCAGGTTCTTCTTCACCAGTCCAAATTTGCCCAGTTCTTCTACACAATGGAAATTCTATGGCCCATTCCTAATTCTTTAGGTTCTATTAAGAATTTCTTGTAGGTACTAGAATGAAGCCTAGTAACATGTACAGGAACAGTGCAGTAACGTTAACACATCTGTTGGCATCTTGTGCTGGCTAAAAGACCTTAGATGAGAAAGCTCAAGTAACTGTAGCTAACTATGAGAACTGCTGGTCCATCTCATGCCATACCCTGTCCCTGACAGTTTCCAAAAAGGAGATGCCCAGGGATGGTAAAAGAAAGCATATTGTGATAATCCCCCAATGCCTCTACAACTTCCAAAACTTTGCATCTCAAGGTGTTCCAGTTAGCCAGTCCTAGCAAGTGATACCCAGGTGAGGGAATGGCATGGAGATTTATCCATGAATACCTCCCCAGCTCTGTAGACAGTCATTCCTGTGGAGACTGATGCTTTGAACTCCTTCTTTGTATCTGGCCTTCTGGGTACTTGTCCCTTGTACCATGGCCCATTGCTTCTCCAGGGTTGGAGAGGCTTGTCCCCTCTTTAGAAGCTGCATCCTTGGGGATTTTCACATCTTGAGTGGACAGTATCTGAGCCTCTTCACATGGAATAGGTTGGACTTCACGATCTTAGAGGTCCCTTTAGTCTAAATTGTTCCACTTCTGTGATTATAACTGTTAGGTTTTCTTTTTTGCTGAGGATGATAGCAATGAGAAATATTTCTGCTACATCTGCTCCTTAAGTAGTTCACTATAATCTGCCAATCTGCATTGGCATGTGCATACTGTTTAATTATTGGTAGCAAAGATGCCAAGGAATGCAAATAACACAGCAATTAAGGGGAAAAATAAAATTTTTGTAAGCTAGAAAACAGTCTTTTCTGAGCCCATGAATTAGATTTTATTTATTGTTATCCAGAAGTAACTTGTTGTCAAACAAAGTTGTTTTGTTGACTGTGCAGAGGTTGAAGTTTCTCTGTGGGTCTTGCTTCTGCTATTTTAAAATAAACTAGCATGATAAACACAGATTCACAAAAAAATTACCATACATTTTATACATTGAAGCATTGCTAAAGTAGTAATTTTTTTAAATTTCAAAAAATTGTCATTTTGACATCTGTTTTAGTGCCTTTCAATTTGTGACATTGATATATATAGGTATCAGTGGAGGGTGGGACATGAACAAACAAAAGGTGAATTTCATGATGTAGATTTAAATGTTTTGCAGTGGAAATGTGTAATGGTGACCAAGGAAAGTATTGTGTCTTACAGAATGCTATTGGGAAGGACAACACAGCAGGAGTCTCCACCAGTCACATATCTGCGGAGAATTCACTCGCTCTTCCTACAAGCTTCTATCTAAGCACACAGCTCACCCTGATGACACTTGCACTCTCACTCTGTTTGTCCCTAAGCTCATCAGTCGTCTTGTAGCTGCATTACATTACAAAAGGACGTGTAAAAAAAAAAAATCTGTTTGCTGTCCTCTGTTGTTTATCTGGAATTCCAGGTCTGGGAGCTAAGCTGAGGCACACCTGTTAGAACAGTCTCAGTCAGCTGGAATTTTACTTTTTTTTCTCTCTAAAAAAAGCTTCTTGTGATATTTAGAGGCTTTGTGAAATACTTGGTGCAGTGCTACATTCCAAACCCAAAAGGCTTTTGGGCATGCAGTGTTTTAAAGAGACAGTGTGTAAATTTGCCTGTAAAGCGACCTGGTTGGATTATTTTAATAATTATTATTTTAATTCTGGCTTTTATCTGAGAAGGAAGATGGCAGTTTTCTTAAGATCTTGTTTATCTCATTGAATGGTTTTGGTTTTCAAAATGGTTGAACTTCAGGCTATCAAGGATGCCAGGCTTTTGTCTAATGGTGAATGTTCTCCCAGAGAGTGGACTTTATGAAACTTCTTCATTTGATAAATCGCTACTGATGTTAAACTCTTTCAATGTGTTAGCATTTTCCTCTTTAAATGTTTACGTACTGTAAGTGATTCTGCGTTCCCTGCTGAGAAGCCATTATAATTCACATACAGGTATAATGTATGTCTTTCAGTTAAATTCTCATAAAAATAGAGTGTGGCGTAGAACCTTCTAACAGTACATTTATCTTTTAATTATAATCATCTAGCCTTAACAAGAGTGAAGATTCTTTAAATTAGCAAGAAGCAGCCATTGTGAAAGCTTGATAAAGATACATTTCTTTAAATATGAGGAACAATTTTGCTACAGGGTTTCAGCTGTACAGTCTATGGTCTTCTATGCTTCCATTGTGATAATATAGTCCAGTTATTATACTGTTTGTTTAATAAAAAAATGACATACAATTTATTTGCTCTACTAAAACGTTATCTGTTTATACATACTTGATAATGTCAGATCAAAAAGTTACAGGAACTTCATGCCTTACTTCTCTTATCAAAACATTGTAGAGGGACAAGAGGAAGTAGGATATTATTTAAATTGTGGTTTATCTCTTACACTGCTAAAATGAACACAAAAAATGGTTGACCCAGTTACAAGGCAGCGCCATGCACACACACCCATGTGACACGATTTTCTCACTGTGGTAGTTCCTACTACAGACCTTGGCATTGCTGACATGATGAACTGTTTGCAAGACCAGTCCCATAAATTAATTCGGTGGTTCAGGTGGCAATATTGCCAATATACATGGTTTAATCTCATGGTTTAATCTCTTGCTCAGTGACACTGGCAGCCCGTGCTGGCTCATGATGATTTCCTGCAGTATCTAGAAGGAATTCTTTAAAGCTTTAAATGTCAGGAAATAGTCAGCATTTCTCCTAAGGGCTGTCTTTCTACCTTACTGTGATGGCTTGTTGACTGTTACAAGCAGTTATGTCTAAGTGATCAGCAGTAATCAGTTTTTGTTTCTGTTGGAAGTAGAAGATAACTTCTCAAGCAAGGAGTTCATCATGTTGAATGTACAGATTTACGTTGAGACTTACACAGTTCTGACCTGTCCTGCTCTGAAATGTCCAGATCACTTATTTGCAATGCAACTATAAAGTACAAATTACTGTTTTATAAACTGCACTGAAGTTTTGGAGTGTGCAAAATACACATCTTACTAAGAGATTATTAAACTTATTGACACGTTCATCTTTTGAGATTTTTTTCTTAGCTAATAATAAACACTTTCATAAAATTTGAAATTCATTTATGTACTTTTGATTATGGTCACGTAATATACATCTCAAAGCGATGTGTATGGGATAGAATTCTACGATACTCTGTGTCACTGAACATAAAAAATTAGACAATATTACTCTTTAATTCTGTGTTGGTAAGAAACTGCAAATTACTTTCAAAGGGAACAGAGCTGCTTTCAGAGAAGAGATATATAGCCCATCATTACCAGCAAAGCCCATGTGGTTCCTGTTGCTCTTCTTGTAGAAGAGAATGAAATTATTGAAAACTAGGGGTAGCAGAAAAAAGATTATGAGATTCATGATTTAAAAAATGAATCAAATTCGTTTATGTCAAAAGAAGTTGATAGTATAATCTATTGAAATGCTAATGAACATTGTATTAGAATTCAAAAGTCTGACATTATCCATTTAAAAATATTTTCAAAACAAATTCATAAACATTACAATTACTAAATCCATCTTTGATTCCCAAAGCTTTCTTTAAAATATGGTTTGTATTCAGCACATTAAACATTTTAGGCAGTATCGGGAATTTTAATAATCTCCCAGTATAGTATATATTTTTTGAAGATTTTTACATTTGGTTTGATTGCAATTATCTCTGTTATATTTAATACCAATTATTAGAGTTCTGGCACTGTGTGATCCAGAATAAATGCTGTTGGTCACTTATACTGTAAATAACAACTTATTAGTTTCTTATTACAAAAGAAACTGCTAACTATCTGAGTCAACCAGAGTTACCTTTGGAAATACCATTCATATATAGTAGGGGAAAAAATGGTGTTTTATATGGGTAGCCATGTTACCACAAAAAAAGCCCAACAGAACACTGTAAAGTAAAAGCATACTGAATTCTTAAAAAAAAGAAAAAAAGCATCTTATTAAACAGGCAAAAGAGAATAAAACCCTTAGGAGTCTGATACTTCATACAGAAGTTTTTACAGGCATCACCATGCAAATATTGGAGGATGTGGTGTGGATGATATCAGTTTATCATGGTGACCTCATCTGTGCATATCTGACCTCATCATTTACTACTGTTCTGAAGTATGCAAATACTTTTTCATTTTTTTCCCCTTTCAGTCACTGCAATGCCATATGTTAAGTTCTCAAATGAACAAGCTTAGTCTGGGTTTTATATATTCCTTTAAAAGATTAATGTTATCCATGTAACAATAAGACAGGAACTGTCCAAATACAGGATGTACATAGAGGTGACCTGCTGTTTCAGTTGTAAATCTAACCAGTTTCACTTGGGTGTAAATCATGGGCTACTGTAAACATATCAAAGTCATATTTTTCATTTAATTTCATCAATGTCATAGTGACACAGACATTGTCGTTAGTGTTATTAAAAGCATGTTTATGGGTTTTTTTGAGAGTAGCTCACAAGGAAAATTTTATAAAGGTAAATTTCAGACTGAACTGAAATACATGGCTAAGGTTTTGCAGTATTCAACATAATTATTAATTCCACAAGCTAGTCCAGTGAAAGAGGCACTGAAGGTGAATCTTTTAGATATGAGCAACAATAACAGCAGCTGAGGGTTTCCCTTGCCCCAGTGTGTGTGGTGACACCCAGCAGCAGGCAGCAGTCCTGAGGATTGTCCGTGCAGTGGTTTGGTCAGTAAGGAGGGGTGCAGCCCTCCTTTCACTGACTTGGCTCCCTGAGATCCTTCAAGAGAATGGAGATGTGGTGCTGAGGACTGAGCAGGAGCCATCCATCTATCTTCTGCAGGGCACTGGCCACTTTTCATTGCACAGCTTCATTCCTACTTTGTCATTAGGATGAATTAGGTGGAAGTGGAATTGTTAATGATTTCAAAGCATTGCATAGACAGACTGTCGGGTGACCTATTCCCAGGCTTATTTCTTTTTAAATACAGTTGTGTCCCTCTAAGGCCCAACCTTTTGAATATGAGGCTGTTCACAATTTTTTCCTGTTTTAATTAGTAGACTGAAAATACAAAAGTGTACACCTTTACTAAGCCTATGCAATTAGGCTGGAGATGAAGAAAACAGATCAGGAATCACCTTGAAATCTCAATCCCATTAAAATTTGTAATTGTTGCTTAATCAGTATGATATTTCTGTGGAGTAAAGACGATGAGAAACCAGTGAAGGAGAAGAGCAAAACTCAGAACAGCTCCCTGAAGGGAGGTAAATCTTGTGTATGTCAAGTGACAGGAGTATCCCATACTTAGCTTGTAATAAAAGAGCTGGATCCTGCTAGAACAGCAGCTCCTTCAGAGCAAGCAGTAAAAGATGGAAGCATGAGCAGTTATTCATACAACAGTTATAACATTCATAAAATGTAATTCTTTGTCATCAACACCAAGGTGGATCTACCTCACTGAAAAATATATGTTCACTGACATTCTCTCTTCTGTGTTAAATTGTTCTGCATTCTGCATGTTCTGTATTAGAACTGTTCTGGGCTAAAGAGGCCTCCAAGGTTGTTTTATGCCCGTAAGGTTACTCAGAGTCTACCTGATGTCCCTGACATCAAATAGAAATATATTTGCTTCTGATGAACTTGGCAGAGAAATTAATCCAGTGACTTGTTAAATATTTCTTATCTTTAAATATTTGCTTTTTCTTAGCAGCTAGTTCCTTCTATGACATTTCAATTATTGAGTATTTCAACTTCTCCTTTAACTTGGGAAGGTCATTTTGTCCAACTCTACAGTATTCCACTTTATACATTTGCTTCAGTGGGTTTTCTTTTTTAATTACAGCCTTCACTTTTGAGAAGAAAAAATATGATTAGGAATATTGGTCTATGGAACTAAGAACACCTTTAAAGGGGAGGAAACTGCAAGTTCCTGTTTTATCTCTTTAGCACTGATTTGACTTGAATAAACGAAAACATGATGTTGCTATTCCCCAGATGGAATTTAAAATTTAGTTTGGTACTGAATAGGATTGAAAACTTTCAAACTCTCACAAGCTATTAGAAATATTTAAGTACTTCTACTGTATTTTCCAGTTGGAATTTCAGTCAAATAGATAAAGTCTCACTAAGTAGTAATTTTTTTCAAGAGTAAGAAGTCTCTTTGGAAATTGTGATGGCTCTGTTTTTAAGGTAAAATCAGAGAGGATGGTGAATTCCCATTTTTGATTCAATATTATCTCAACTTTCATACACCCTTGTTTCATGTTCTCTTATGAGTGTGTTTGCCTGCAGGCAATGGTTACACTTAATAGATACATATTAGCTATGGTCACCTCAATAGCTGGAAGCTAACTCCTGAAACTCCTACTTAGATGTTCCATCTCTTTTTATCTTACATAAAAGCATGAGCAACAAATTCAAGATGTGGCCTAAAGATTACCTGAAGTTTCAAAGAGCACAGAGTCAACAAATTTCTCAGTAGCATTTCTTATCGGTAGAGATAGTGGTATTCTATATTAGTACTGTCTAGAGTACTCCCAAAAGTTCTTTGAGCACATTTAACCAGAGTTAAACCAGTTTCTGCTGTTTTACCTTGTTCAGGTGCCAATAGCAGTTGCCATGCATAGAATTAGAGCTAATTGCTGCCCAGATTAAAGCAGCCAAACGTTAGCTCCTTTTCCCCTGCTTTTAGTGATGCCAGCACACTAATTCTTTTGCACTGCTTTTTAATCTGTCAAAAGGAGAATTGCCTAGAATCCAGAAGAAAATTAGTCATAGATTTAAAGGCAATTTTCTTCAAATTCCTCCTTCCAGAATACCATAATTACTGACTTCTTACAAACTCCTATCCTCCAAACACTGAATACCCCCTGCTCAGCATGTTCAGTTCTTAGCAAACTGAGCAGGAGTTTGGGGGATTCAGCTTCTAGTAAAGGAGGCTGTGTATGTTTTCAAGACTCTTCAAGCCTCTTATTCTGCAAATTGATGTCCCCTCCAGCCTTTTCTGAGTTCATTTGCTCGATCTGCTTGGAAACACCAAAGAGCTGGAAATGGCTGACTGATGCCACCCAGCTCTTGGTGTCAGTCTCAGTAACTGTAGTCCATCTCAGGTCAGTAATCTCAGCCCACATTTACTGGCCAGTTGCATGAAAGCAGTATCACAGCAGGCACTAACAGGCAGCAGCATTCTTCTGGCTGACCACAGATGCACTGGTAACACGCTGTACATCGGCACTGGCTGGTGTGTACCAAGCCTTTGTGTCTCCATCAGCCAGACCTGTCCAGCTGGGGTGGAGCTCATGTACACACCCTAATAAACCTGTTGGAACTACAGGCCGACAAATAAGTCATGCCAGGCTTGCTAGCTCCAGCTTTTCAGCTGGTCTGCACCGAATAATGTTGATTTTGACCACTGCACTTGTCCTTAGGTCAAAGCTTAAATGCTACAAAAGCTAAACCCCATGGATTTACTGAACCATGGGGTGATATAAACTCCTTTAAGCATAGAAACCAGAAAGTCCACTGAAACTCTGAAGTAATTTTCAAAATAAATTGAAAACATCATCGTCCTCTCCTGGTAATGTTTATGCAATAGGATATATATGACAGAAGGAAACTTTTGTCAAAAACAGTAGAAAGC